TTTTTAACGGTAGGAAACGGAAGTCCCAAAGTTTTAGGTAAAGTACTAAAAGCTTATCTTTTCACTTTTCGTTAAAAAATAAGAAAAAGAAAATTTTAAGTGTGAAAATTTCATTCGATTTTTCTTTTTTCTTCTTTTTCACGTACCAAAAAAAAAAAAAAAACTTTATTAAAAAAACTTTTCTTTAAAAAAAAAATTAATTTTCACGTACGTCATAAAGTCATAGAGTAAATAAATTTAAATATATAAAATTAAACGATAGAAGTAAATTTTTTTATGTTTCGATTTTTTTGTTTGTCGTGATTAAAAGGTTGTTGTTTTTTTTTAACGAAATAAATATTCTATTCCCACGTTAATTTTTTTTTTTGTTATAATCCATCACAACTCCCAAAGAAGTTTTCAGACGACAACCACTCATTACGTCACAGGAATTTTTAAAAGAACAAAAAAAAAAAAATTTTTTTTTTTTACCTTTTACTGTGTTCCTCCTTCTCTCTTTCTCTCTCTCCCTCTTTCTCTCTTTGAAAACTTTTTTTTTTTTTTTTTAAAAGCATAAATTATACAAACATAAAATTCTAATTTATTAAAGAATGGTTTTTAATTTTTTAATTTAATTACAAAAGTAAAAAAAAAAAAAAAGTAAAATGAAGCGGATTTATCTCGGGGGAGTATACATATATATATAAAAACGGAGACAAAAAAAATAAAATAAAAAAAAAGAAAAAAAAAACAAAACGACCAGTCGACCGTAAAACACACAACCGGAAGAAATATTCTAAATACACAAATTTAATGCATTTTTCATTTAAGTTTTTCTCTCCTTCTCTCTATCTCTCTTTTTCTCTCTTTTTTTCTATCTCTATGAATATATATTTAATAGTTACGCGTGCGTAAATAATAAAAATATATTTTTGTATAACTTTATTATGTTTTTTTTTTTTTTAAAAACACAAATAAAAAATAAAATCGTTTAAAAACTTACGCCATTTTGTTTTTGTTTATTTTTAAACCAAGTATTTCTATACTGCGTCGCCATGTTTGATTATATTATTAAACAAATTTCACATAATTACGTTTTAAAGTCACATCGATCGTTATAAATATTGAAATTATTATTATTATCAACGGTAAATAACGTTAATATTTTATTACACTTAAAGAAAATAATTATAATTTAATTAAATACAAAAAAAAAACAATTAATTAATCGACATCCGCCATTAAAAAACACCCGGGTGCCATTAAAAAAAACCCGCAACTAGTGACACCTGTCGATAAAAATTAAAAACATAAATTAAAAATGGCTACCCCCGATAATGAAAAAAAGATTTTTTTATTAAATAACGACGTGTGACGTAACGATTTTAAAGTTTATTTATTTTTTGTTTTAATGCGAAAACCTTTTTTTTTATTGATTTGTAAAAATAAAATAAATTATTTTAACCTTTTAAAAGTAAAATTTGTAATAAAAACTATAAAAAAAATGTCGTCGAAAATTCAAAATGTCTGCCATATTATTCGAAAATCTCGCCATGTTTTTTTTCTCTCCATTTCGATATTTCGTAGGAAAATAAATAAACGCATAATTTTTACTTTTTTTTTTTTAATTATTTATAAAAGATTTAAAAGACACAAAGGAGAAAAATAAAATGAAACAATGGAAAATGAATTGAAAGGAAAGAAAATTTTAATTTAAAGATTTAAAGGGGTCATTGTTTTATTACGTTAAACGCACGTTCAATGACGTCATCGTTATATTAAAATGTTTTTCCTTTGTAAAAGTAATTAAATAAGTCCGAAAAACTATTTACAGAATAATAATAATAATAATAATACATAATAATAATAAAATTTACGAATAAAAAAATAAAACAAAATAAAATTTAATTTCGAAAAAATTTTTTTATTGTAACATTTTCCAATTTTCATTTCTCTTTTCACGTCAGAATTTTTTTTTTTTATAATTTAACATTTGAAAAGGGATTATTTTGAATCCAAAAAAAAAAAAACCGAAACCAACCACCAACCAAAAAAAGGGAAAAAATTTTTCAAAAAATGAAAAAAATTATAAATGAAATTTCTATCTGAAATGTTTTTTTTTTTTTTACACAACAAGTTTTTATTAAATTCAAAATAATAATACTTTTCGAACAAAAAAAGGAAAAAAAAAAGAGAAAAACAAACAAATGAACAAACAAACAAACGAACAAACACGAAAAGTCAGAGTGAATTTACGTTTTTTTTTTTTTTTTTTTTTTTTTTTTTTCATTTTAAGCCTTTTGCGATCCCTCCATGTTCATCTCTTCGAATTACTCGATGAATTTTTAACGAATGTCCGGCAATTTCCCAAAAAGGAAAACCAGCTTCCGGTTAAAAGAAAAAATAAAAATAAAAAAATAAAAACGAAAAAAAAAAAAAAATTTATTTTCCCATGTATAAGGGATGCATCATAAATTGTAAAACTCGGGTTAAATTGTTAAATTTATACCTGGACGGGGAGGGGGGTTAAACAACCCTTTTTTTTTTTTTTTAAAAAAAACAATTGAATATGATTTTACAAACTAAAAATTTTTAAATTAAACCCCCCGTCCACCCAAACACACCCACCGCCAAAAAAATTATTTATTATTCAAAAAAAAAAGAAAATTTTGAAATTTAACATCGACCATTCCAACACGTGGTTTTTCGGTTTTTACAAAAAACGAACGCCATTTTTTTTTCTTTTTTGGGGGATTCCCACGTTTCTGATAAACTTTATCAATCGATAATATTAAATTCACGTGTTTTCTTTTTTTTAAATCGTTTCAAACGTTAAACAAACAAAAACAAAAACAAAAATTTCCCCATATAAAACGTTTGGTTACTGACGTCATAGCACACGCCGCCATTTTTATTTTTCCCTTTACGTTTAAGTTAGTACCGGAAATTTTCTAAAAGGATTTTTTTTTATAACTTTTAACTTTAAATATTTAAATTTGATATATATAGATTTTATAAACCGTTAGAAAACTTTTTGTATTTTCGATACAACAACAACAAAAAGAAAAAGAGAAAGAGAAATAAATAGAAATATAATTTATATTTGTGGTTTTATATCGTTAAAATATTTAAAAAAATTTTGCCCTTCATTTTATTTGATTTTTATAGTTTTACGATTTAAAACGTTTTAAAAACGAATTCTAATATAATTTATTAATTTCTTTCGTTTTACGTTAGAAAACTAATAAATTATTAACCGTTAAAATTTTTTTTTAGTTTTGTTTATTGTTTTTAACGGTCGCCATATGTAAAAACTCCATGCAGGATTATAACCAATTAAAAAAAAAGTTTTTACTCGTTTTTTGTTTTTTTAAATTAATTAATAATATGATTTTTCTTTTATTAATCATTTCAACTTGAAAATTATATAATAAAAACTCGTAAAAACTTTGTATGTAATCAATAAAAATGAAAAAAATAAAAAACAATTTACCTTAAGAACGTATCCTTTGGATTTCTTCTGAAAATTACGTCATCATCAACTGACGCCACGTTAAAATTCAAAATGGCGGATTATTATTTACAAATTCGTTTAATTCGTAACGTATATTTAAAAGAATTTTTTTTTTTTATTTTAAACGAACGAATATTTTTATTTTCCATATTGATACGTTAGAAAAAAAAAAAAACTTTGTATTTACGTAATAATAATAATAATAATAATAAAGAAAAAGAAAAAATTTTAAATTTATATTTTAAAAAATTCTTATTTAAAGTTTAAAACTTTGTTTTATTACCTTTTTTTTTTTTTGTAAAAACGAAAAAATTTTATCATTTTAGTTAATTATAAAATCGAATGAAAAAATAAAAAAAACCGAACGAATGTTTTTTTTTAAAAAAATTTTCCTTTTCACATTTGTAATTTAAAAAAAGTTTTTTAGTTTAAAATAAAAATGGCGTTATAAGAATTCAAAAAATTTTTTTCGTATTTATTATAATTTTTAAACTTTGATCGAAGTGCTGCGAATAAAACTAAATAAATTTTTTTTTTTTTTAAATCGTTTTGTTCGTTACATCCGGTGTATCCGGTATTCTTCCGCATTCCTTCCTACCTTCCTTACTTACTTATTTTTAACGGCAAATTTTATTATTAAGATTAATATATTTAATAATGATGATGATGATGATGATGTTAATAAATCCTTTTCCACTCATAACAACCTGTTAATTAAAATTATAAAATTATTTTGCTGAAGGGACTAATGGGCAAATGCAATAATTATCGTCCAATTAAAATTTTATTTAAAATTCGTCATTATTAAAATTTTATTATTTTCAAAATTAATTATTTTTACTACTAATGAAATTATTATCAAATTTATCTTTTTTCTCCCCTCCCCTCCCCACCCTCCCCCATCCTTAAAATTTTAAAGAAAATAATTATTTGAGTCTTGACTAATATTAATTAAAGTTACGACATCGAATCCGTCTATGATTTTTTTTTTTAACGATCGAAAAACCGGATATCGTCCTGTTGCATCCGTTTTGATAGAAAAAACGGTCAAAAGTAAAAATTTGAATATTGAAACTGCCAAGATGGGGGGAAGTAAAGATAGAAAAACGAGATGTGAAAGCACGGGGAGCCATTTTACAAATACTAAAAGGAAATCTGTAGATTTTAAAGAAAGAAAACCGTACAAGAAATGGCACGTTGCGTTGTGCGGTACAAAACTATTAAAAAAATTAATAATAATAATAATAATAATAAAATTTATTCTACTACGTTTCTACTGGGTAACATTAAATGCGTAATAAACTACAATTTTTATTAAACTCGACCAACGAACATTGGGGGCAAAGTTTTAAAAAAAAAAAAAGACTAAAATTCTTTGAAAAATGAATTATTGATCGTATGGCATTATTATCACCATCGTAATTAAAAAATATTTACAGAGGAAAATAGTAAAAACGTTTATAATTAAATTAAAGAAAATCCTTCTTCTTCTTCCCCGCCCCCCCGTTTATTGCTTTGCGGTATCCTGCGAAAGTATGTCATCATTTTTTTCATTTAATTCTTCTTTGGAATCTTGTAGATTTTGAATTTCTTTTTCATTTGTTTCATCATTTCTTTTCTCGTGACTTTGTTCTTGATATTCGATAAAAAGATTACATATTTTTTCTTTCGAGAATATACTATTATTATTATGTGTTTCTTCTTTTATGTACGTGGGTGCCATATTACCCAATTTTGATTTATTATCAGTTTTAATTTTCTCACATTTTTCTTCGAATACTAATTTTGTTTTTTCGTAAGCTCCAAAATAAAGGAAACCTCCTAATGTTATCCAGAGTATTCGTGGAATGATTCCGGCAAACAATCTGAATTCAAAATAAAAAAATAAAAATTGCCCCACACATCCCCTCCCCCTGTTATTTTAAACTGTTTGAATTATTTACCCTCTTATTCCTTTTTGTGAATAAACTTGTTTGGCCATATTCCAATTTAAATTTTTTTTTATTTTTTCTATTTTTTCTTTTTCTTCTAACATAATCCGAGTTTTAATGACATCCATTGGTGTTGTAAATGCAGCTGCAATTGCACCTGATAATAATTTTCAATATATATATATTTATATTTATAATAATTATCCTTATCAATCTCGTTGACAAAATTAAGTAAATGATAAATGAATTTACCTGCAAAAGCACCACACAAAGCAGTTTGAAATGTGTTTAAACTTTTACCATCTTGAAATGCCATATATTCATTGATCATAACTTCCCAAACTGGATACTGAATCGCAGCAAATGGTATTTCTCTCCATAATGTACTCCAAAAACTGAAACTAAATTATTTGAATATGTCCAATTGACAAAAGGAATAATAGGAAAAGGATTTTGGAAAAAAAAAAAAAAAAAAGGAAGATAATTGATTTGAAAGGAAAGATTGAAATTTTTTCTTACCCCCTATATAATCCATATACTCCCTCTTTTTTAAGCGTTTGCCTTACGATAAATGCACTCCTCGTGTTTGATGTTTGTTTTCTTTGCTTAACTACTTCTAACGGAACTCTCACAATCGATCCAATCTGTAATATATTTGCTATATTATTTTAAATCAAGTTACACATTTAAAAAAAATAAGTTTTTGAAATTTACCAATTCGGCAGCAGAAGCGGAAACTATATACACTACTGGATTTAATGCAGAATTTTCCGTTTTGAGAGTGTTGACCATTGTGTTGTAGGTAGCGAAAAAAAGGGCAGCTGTAAAAAAATTTTGTATTCGTTTTTCAAGAGGCGAAAAATTTGAGGTAAAGAGGTTATTGTAACATAAAAAACATTATTTACACAAAGGAGCTGAACATAGTATAACAGGAACAATGCCTTTATAAATCCCTCTGAAACCACCAGATGCTCTAAAACCATATTTACTCTGTAATCTTGTTTTAATTGTATCTAAAGGATACAAAGTGAAATCAACAAATACTCCAGCAATTCCGCCTGCCTTTAATAAAACAAAAAAAAAAAAAAAAAAAATGAAGAGTAAATCAAATTCATCGTGTGATATAAAAAAATACAAATAATGAAAAAACTATTAAATAATTATTTACTACAATAGATGTTAATAATGTCGGTTTGAGTTTAATTCCTTCTTTATAAGGTGAACTATCATCGCTGTCTAATGTTGGACCTATATCAGAAATTCGTTTTTTAATAAAACGTGTTGCGTTTTCTGAAAGACTGACACGGTCGTCATATTTTTCATCCATGTCATGTCTGAAAACATTTTAATTTAATTTTCTCTTTTAAGAAACCATTATTACAAAAAATTTATTTACTTTAATTATCAAACTACCGGTAAAAATTATCATAGTATTTTTAATCCACGTTTCAAAGGAAAAAAAAAAAAAAAAAAAAAAAAAAGTTCTTAAAGCAAGTGGAAAAGGCCATACCATTGACATTGGTGGGAAAAATATGGCCGCTGTTTTGGATGAGGTTGGAAAATCAGAAAAGAAAATACAAAGCGTGGCACCCGATGACGATGTAAAAGTCGAAAACGATGTGGGTGATACTTTGAAAAAGAAAAATCGTAAAAAAAAGAAAAAAAAAACCGGTACGAATTATTATTTATATTTAGTTTTATTTTTTTTTTCTCTCTCTCTCCTCAAAATGAGTTTTCCTCAAGGTATTAAATTCCACGAAAATGTGCCCAAGTTTTTAAGTTTTTATTTATGCCTATTTATTACTTAAAAGCTCAATTTTTAATTAAAAACTTTTACCTTTTTCAATTTTTTTAATGTAAAACGCTTTTGGTTACAATTACCATCTTTTATTATTCAAATTTTTGTCTTCTTTGTTAATCCAATCATACTTTCTACTTTTGTTATAAGGATCCGGTGATGGAGTACCCGATGAGCCTAACGTAGACGTGAATGGAATTTCAAAAGACCTTGAAAATGTCACAGTTAGTAATAACAAAGAAGTTGAAAATTCAAATAAAAATGAAATTGATGATAATGCTCAGGGTAAAACTACTGCAGAAGGTGAAGAAGTAGTTAAAAAGAAAAAAAAGAAAAATAAATCTAAAAATAAATCATCTGGAGGAACTGGTAGTTCTGGAACTGGAATCAAATGTCAAACTGACCCTCCTAGTATTCCTATATCTGAATTGTACCCTTCAGGTATTACAAAAAACCAAAATCGTGACAAAAAATTCATTAAAAGCATTTTTCGAATGTGAAAAACTTTTTATTCATTTATTAATTCTTAGGCGTTTATCCGATTGGAGAAGAATTAGAATATCCTTTGCCTAAAGATAGTAGAACGGCTAAAGATAGATTTACAAGCGAAGAAAAAAGAACATTGGACAGGCTTCATAATGATATATACAATGAAGTTAGACATGCTGCTGAAGCACACAGACAAGTAACTTATTCATTTCTTAATAATTATTCAATCATAGAAAATTTTCAATTAATGGAAATGAATTATTCGATTGTTTCAGACTCGAAAACACATGTTGAAATTTATCAAGCCTGGAATGACAATGATTGAAATATGCGAAGAATTAGAAAACACAGCACGTAAATTAATAGGAGAAGATGGTTTAAAAGCAGGTCTTGCTTTTCCTACAGGTTGTTCTAGAAATCATTGTGCTGCTCATTACACACCGAATGCTGGAGATCCAACAGTTTTGCTATATGATGATGTAACTAAAATAGATTTTGGAACTCACATCAATGGAAGAATTATCGATTGCGCTTTTACATTAACTTTTAATCCGAAATATGATAATTTATTGGCAGCTGTTAAAGATGCTACTAATACGGGTATTAAGGTACCTTCATCGAAATTATTAACCTTTTAAAAATTTCAATTTCATGGAAATTATCATAAACTAAAACATTTTTTTTAAAATTAAGGCCGCTGGAATTGATGTTAAACTATGTGAAATCGGTGAGCAAATACAAGAAGTTATGGAATCATACGAAGTTGAAATCGATGGTAAAACCTATCAAGTTAAATCCATCAGAAATTTAAATGGACATTCTATTTCACCATACAGTTAGTTTTCAAACCTTTTTTAAAAAAGTTAAAAACTTGAATATTTTTTTGCAAATTTTTATAATTGAAACGTTTTTTTTAATTAAAGGGATTCACGCTGGAAAAACGGTACCGATAGTTAAAGGAGGTGAAGCCATACCCATGGAAGAAAATGAATTTTATGCAATCGAAACATTCGGGTCAACCGGAAGAGGTCAAGTGTGTGATGACATGGATGTTTCTCATTACATGAAAAATTTCGATCAGGCTCATGTACCATTAAGGTAACCAAACTCCTCCCCCCCAACCCCCAAACCTAAGACAAACGATTAAAACAAACAAACAAATTTTTTTTTCAGGCTCAACACTTCGAAAGCACTTTTAAATAGTATTAATAAAAACTTTGGAACTCTCGCCTTTTGTAAACGTTGGTTGGACAGATTAGGATTGACTAAATATCAAATGGCATTAAAACATTTGTGCGATAAGGGTGAGAAGTGCATTATATACCCTTAATGTGTCTAAGTAGGGACTTAAATTCAAATTTTTTTAATTTTTTTTATAGGAATCGTCGATCCTTATCCTCCATTATGCGATGTAAAAGGAAGTTACACGGCACAATACGAGCATACAATCATGTTACGTCCGACATGTAAAGAAGTCGTCAGTCGCGGTGACGATTATTAAATAATAATAATTTTTTTTTTTTTTTTTTTTTTTTATTAACTAACAAGCCTTATAAGCTTTTATTAAAAAAAATAAAGAAAACTTTTGAAGTAAAAACGGTTATACTTTTTAGTTATTTTACGTCCTTTTTTTTTCCCCCAAAATTTAATAAAAGCTTATTATTATTATTTTGATTTGTTTTTAAATTTAATAAAATATATATTATTTTTTTTCACGGAATGATTCGTACGTATTTTTTTTTCGACCACGACAAAAACGAGCTTTCCATTTAAAATTTCCTTTTTTATTAGTGCCACGACAAAATTAATCTAACCATTTTTGGTTAAAAACGTATTTGTGTTGTCGGGTCGTCAATTATATCGTTAAAAAAATAAAAAATGACTGCTTTTGAAAAAATGGGTGTTATGCCCGAAATAGCTAAAGCCGTCAATGATATGGAATGGACTTTACCGACGGATGTTCAAGCAGAAGCCATACCACTTATTCTAGGTGGAGGAGATGTACTTATGGCAGCAGAAACCGGGAGTGGAAAAACTGGGGCATTTTGTCTTCCGATATTACAAATCGTACACGAAACATTATTGGATATATCTCAGGGTAAAACGTCGAAAATCTCAAATGTTAATACAAATACTCAAGGATCGAATAAATGGGGTCTTAGTTTTTTCGACAGGAGTTCAGCCATGGCTGTCACTCCCGATGGATTACGTTGTCAATCACGCGAAGCTCAAGAATGGCACGGATGTCGTGCTACAAAGGGTGTAAAAGGTAAAGGTCAATATTACTACGAAGCTACCGTTACGGATGAGGGTTTGTGCCGTGTCGGATGGGCCACCGGTCATTCGAGTTTAGATTTGGGTACCGATAAATATGGCTTCGGATTTGGTGGTACCGGTAAAAAATCAAATTCAAGACAATTTGATAATTACGGAGAACCTTTTGGAATGCACGACGTCATTGGTTGTTATTTAAATTTAGACGACATGGAAATAAAATTTTCGAAAAATGGCAAAGATTTAGGTGTGGCATTTAGAGTGCCAGGAAATTTAAAAGATGCCGTTTTTTTTCCTGCGGTGGTTTTAAAAAATGCCGAAATGTCATTTAATTTCGGTGATAGTAATTTCAAATATCCTCCTTCCGGCAATTATGTAGCCGTATCGAAAGCACCTGAAAATTGCATTTCCAACAACACAAACGGAGTTTCGAGTGGGCCTCCCTCTGGTGGGGTAACGAAAAAAGTCAACAACGCACCACAAGCAATAATTATCGAACCTTCTAGAGAACTTGCCGAACAAACTTATAATCAACTTGGAAAATTTAAAACTCATTTACCATCCCCGATATCGACTCTACTCGTAGTCGGTGGAGTACCCGTCAAAGATCAAATATCAGCATTGAATTCCGGAGTCGACATTGTTTGCGGTACTCCGGGTAGATTAGAAGAATTAATATCAACAGGTCATTTATCACTTACCCAATGTAGATTTTTCGTTTTAGACGAAGCTGACGGTTTACTAAAGCAGGGTTACTCCCAACTCATAGACAGAGTCCACAAGCAAATTCCAAAAATAACATCCGACGGTCGTAGATTACAAATGATCGTTTGTTCGGCAACTCTCCACGACTTCGAAGTTAAAAAAATGGCTGATAAATTAATGCATTTTCCAACATGGGTCGATTTGAAGGGCGAAGATGCCGTACCTGAAACTGTACATCACGTTGTCGTAATGATCGACCCTCAAAAAGATAGATCTTGGGAAACTCTCAGGTATCACATTCAAACGGATGGCGTTCACGCAAACGACAACGTAAGACCGAAAAACAACACGCCGGAAACACTTTCCGAAGCCGTTAAAATGCTAAAGGGTGAATATTGCGTGAGAGCAATCAACGAACACAAAATGGATCGAGCCATCATATTTTGCAGAACGAAACTCGATTGCGGTAATTTGGAAAGGTATTTCAATCAATTGGGTAAAGGACCCAGAAATCCTCAGAATCCGTATTCTTGCGTTTGCCTTCACGGGGATAGAAAACCAAACGAAAGAAAAGCAAATTTGGAAAAATTCAAAAACAAAGAAGTTAAATTTCTCATTTGCACGGATGTTGCTGCGAGAGGTTTGGACGTGTCAGGACTTCCGTTCATGATAAACGTGACACTTCCCGATGAGAAAAGTAATTACGTGCACAGGATAGGTCGAGTAGGAAGAGCCGAAAGAATGGGTTTGGCCATATCCCTAGTGAGTTCTGTGCCGGAAAAAGTCTGGTACCACGGTCAGTGGTGTCCTTCGAGAGGACAAAATTGTTTCAACACGAATCTCACGGACGTGAAAGGTTGTTGCATTTGGTACAACGAACCCAGATATTTAGCGGAAATAGAAGATCATTTAAACGTAACGATACAACAAGTCGAACCGGATATTAAAGTACCCGTTAACGAATTCGACGGTAAAGTCGTATACGGACAAAAACGTACTCAAACCGGTACGAATTATCAAAATCACGTCGCTCAAATGGCTCCCGCCGTAAAAGATTTAACATCTTTAGAAAGTAAAGCGCAACTCATATACATACAAAGACATTTTAATAAAAAAATTGCTTGAATCTCGCACCGCCGCCATCTTTTCTCCTGCTCCTCCTCTTTCTCCTCCTCCTCCTTCTTCTACCCCACGCCCCCGTACGCCATATTTCTTTTTTAATGACATCACGGAAATTTTTTTTTTTCCTTTTACTTTTTCCCGTTCGATTTCCTTTTTCCTTTGAATTTCCAACCTGTAAACGCTCTCACGCACTCGTACTAATTAATTATTATTATTATTATTATTATTATTAATCGAAATGTTATAAATGTAATAAGAAAAATAATTTCTTAACGCCAATCAATATACATATATATATATTTATTTATTTATCAATATCACTTATCGTTGTTATTATTATTATTATTATTATTATTATTATTATTTTCAATTTCCTTTTATCCGTTTACTTATCATCATCATCATCATCATCATCATCATTATTATTATTAATTATTATCATTTTTGATTTTTTTATTAAACTACATTAAAGCGAATATGTCAATACAAAATAAGTTATTTCTATTACCACCATTACGTCATCATCATCGTCGTGCACATTATTATTACTGTTATTATTATGGCGTATGTCGTTATTAATTTTTTTTCGCGGGGGCGGGGGGGGGTTATCCCTTCGGAATCAATACCCAACAACCTTTATGTAATTCGAATGTGTAAGTGAGAACCTTAAACCTTAAACCTTTATAAAAAAAAAATTGTAAAATTTTTCACCTCATCAACTTTCCCAAAGTGCAAAAAATAAAAACGAACCAAAATGCCGCCACTATCATCATCATCATCATCATCATCATCATCACAACCGTAATTATTATTACTATTGTTATTAAAACTATAACCGAAATTTCCTTTAAAAAAATTTGATGACTACTTAAATTCAAAATATCCGTTTTGTTAATTGATCGCGTTAATTAATTAATTAATTAATATTAAGATTAAAATTTATATAACAATTATTTAGGCAATTTTATTTTTATATATATATATATACATGCATACTCTGTGTGTGTGAATGTGTGAATGAATGCGTGTGAATGTGCGTGCGAGTGCACACGCAAAACGTATACAAAAAAAAAAAAAACATTTTTTTTTTTGCATATAATAAGAACAAAATTTAAATAATAATAATAATAATAATAATAATAATGATTCGTTTTTTTTTTTTTTAAAGAATTGCGGATTGAATGTAAATGTAATGTTTTTTTTTTTTTTAATAATAATAATAATATTCTTAGTACTGATAAATACTGTAGTAATAAGAGATTTGAGATCATCAACTGTGAGAGTGTGTATATATATATATATGATAATATTATATAACTTAATTTAATTAGCATCAGTCATGATTGTTTACATGATGTTAATTTGCTTACGTTTACACATGGCATCGGTCTCCATTTGGCTTTGTGTTTTTTCTCTTCACCTATTGAACTATTTATCGACGTGTTCATAACGTCTTGCTCGACGACGTATTCAGTCTCTGAAATTATTATAATCATCATTATTATTTTCTTAATAAACAATTATGATTATCATCCTTATTATTATTATTATTATTATTCATTTTCCTTTACCATATGGCGAATTTTCACGAGGAGAATTATTATTTCCCTCATCATTACAATAATGTAATTCCATCAGGTACTGAAGAGTTGTCATTGAATGTTTTTCATCACCTTTCGAAGATGGTATTGGTACATATTCTAAACTGTTTGGTGGTTTGCATATGACCCAACTTGAATATAAAATAGGTTAGACACACACACACACACACACACACTCACATCGAGACTCAAATCAAATCAAATTAAATTAATCGACTACCTGTGATTTTTAACTTGTTGCAATGAAAATCTCAAATCTGGATCCTTGTGCAACATTCCTTTAAGCAATGAGCAAATATTTCCCTCTAATTCATCCGGAATTGTAAAATCTCCCTTTCCAATGTTTTCAAATAATTTATATATGTTATCACCTTCGAATGGATATTTCCCAGTTGTTATGTTGTATCTAAATTTAAATTATAATCAATTGTAATAATAATAATAATAATAAAATTATTAATAAGAATTTATTTTATGTTGATAAGTTCTTACAGTGTGACACCGCTGCTCCAAATATCAACTTTAAAACCGGAAAATTTTATGGCACCATTTGCAATTTCAGGAGGTTGAAACGATGGAGTACCTTGACCAGTGTAACAAGTATCATCTTCAGCAAATATATCAAGAGCCTGAAATTGATAAAAATTTTCATGTGAAAAATATTTAAAATAAAAAGAAAAAAAAAAAAAATTTTTTAATAAAAAATTACCTCTGCGACTCCGAAATCTGATATTTTAAGCGTACCATCGAGTGATAAAAGTAAATTTCCAGGTTTAATATCCTTATGAATGATTCCTTTACTGTGTAGATATATGAGACCATCGATGAGTTGACAAAAATAATTATGAGCTTGCCATATAGGCAATTTTTTAGATGCTGTACTTTCTAATAAACCTTGTAATCCTCCTACACAATGTTCCATAATTATGTACATTTTTTGTTTTTCATCATTATACAAAACTTCTAATAATTTAATTACATGCACATTGTCTAAACCTTTTTGCAATTGTATTTCTCTAAAAATAATCATTTTCATATACATGTTATGTAATTATTAATAAATAAACATTTTATTTCATTATTGATTTTCTTTTTCGAAACATTCGACAATAAATTTTATAAGCTTAATAACATTCGATATGAAATGTATGGTTTTCTAATTACAAAAAAGAAACTTCGATTGTGACTTACTCGACACAAATAATAATAATATTAATTAGAATGAAATTATTAAGTTTGAATAAAAACAAACAAATTAACAAACCTTTGAACATTTTGTTCTCCATTCATTATTTTTCTTAACCTTTTTTTTTTTAATATTTTAACAGCTCTTCTACAAAGTGTTTCTGAATCTAAAACTTCTTTAACTTTACCATAACTTCCTTCGCCTAATAAATCACCCATAACGTATTTGCCCAACATTTTACATTTTTTCTTCTTCTGATAAATAACCTGATCGGAATCGACTTTGTGAAAAAATGGTTGTAAATCATTATCATCATCGTTTATCCATGTTGTTTTTTCCGTATCCTCTAAAACTTGTGATATAAATTCTTCATCGTTAATATAATCGTTATCAATATAATTGCTGTCCATTTTGAAACAACCATATATATTATTAATATGCAATAATAATAATTTTTTTTTTCTAAATTTATTTTTAAATATGTGTGTGTAGTTTATACGAATAAATATTTCAAACGTTTGAAATATATTATTAATAAGTTTATTATTATTATTATTATTATTATTATTTAATTTTACACAAAATGTAATTAAATCACTTATATTAACGGCTATTATAATACAAACAAAAAAAAAAAAAAAGTAAAATAAAATGAAAATAAAAAAAAAAAAGAGAAAGAAATTTCACTTATGTTCCCGGCCTTTAACATCCATATTAATAAATACAAAAAAAAAAAAAAAATTAATTTGTCTTCTGCTACGAAACGAAATGAAAAAAAGAAACATGTTCGAAATTTCAACGGTTTTTATATATTCAAATTTTTAAAACGTTTTTCATTCTTTTTTTTTTATTTTTCGATTAATAATAAATGATTTGTATGTTTTTAATTTATTAATAGAGTTAATTAATTAATAAATTAATAAGTTTTAAATAAAATAACGTTTTAAAATTGAAATTTTTGTTTAAAAATCCATCAACGGCCATTATTATCATATTCCATATTTATAATCCATGTAAATCAATGAATGGATTTCATTTTTTTTTTTTTTTGTTTAAATTTTATTAATTTTTAACATCGATTAATGATTGTTTTGTATATAATAATGATGATTTCACTGTTATCAATTAAGTTTCTAGAAAAAAACATAAATTATCAACTGATAAAAAAAAATTGATGTAATGAATTATGATAATGATAGTAAGCATGACACAATAAATATAAAATCCCAATAATAATAATAATAATAATGAATATGTTGTAGTGTAATGGGAAACAAATGTAATAAAAAAAGGAAAAAAAAAGACAAAAAAGAAAATAGAAAAAAGAGAAAGAAAAAGAAACACATGAGAAAGAAAAAAAAAAATTGTTAAAAAAAAAAATTTTTTTTATTTAAAAAAATGTTTTTTTTTTTTTTTTTTTACTTTTTCCTTTTTTCTTTTTGTTTTAAAATATTTTTGATATAATAATAATAATAATAATATACATATTAAAGACATCACATATAAAATATTAGAGACATTTTTAATTATACAGTATAGTAAAATTATTTTGCTTTTTTTTTTTTTGAAATATTTTTTTTACCTTTTTTTACCTTTTTTTTTTTTGCTTACTGACAAAACGTTTTCTGCATTTTTGGCACAAAATAAACATTTTTTTGTTTGTTTGTTAAAAGAAAACAAAAATTAAGAGATAATTAACGGAAAATTAAAATTGAGAATTACCAAACAAAAAAACATAAAATTCAAATTTCAATTATGAATTCTTTTTTTTTTAAAAACTAATAAAATTATACATATATCATGTTTTATAATAAAATACATTTTGTTTTATTTAAATAAAATAACTTTTTCATTTTAAAAAAAAACATTTACACCACTCGGAATCATTTAAAATAAAAAAAAAAAACGTTTCAAAATGAATAAAATAAAAAAATGGACGACGCATCATCACAAATAAAAATAACCGTTTCTTTTATTATGACGTCACACAATCGTAGAGTACCAATATCGAAAAAAAAAAAAAAATTTTGTCGTCGTCGATACGAATTGTTTTGTTTTTACAAAGTTTCGACAATTTTCCCCCAAAATGATAAGCAGAAAACATTTTTATACTTTTTTCATTTATTCATATTTTCATATAAATATGAATTTCAATTTTTTTTTTAATTTCACGACAAAAAAAGCAAAAAATTAATTATTATTAATTAATTAATTAATTAATTACAATTAATTTAATCGATAACAATAAATTTTTATTATTATGAAAAAAAAGCGTTTTTAGAGCGACTACGAATAATTAATTAATTTTTTTATTTAAATAAAAACAAAAAAAAAAAAAAAACCAATTTCACATTTAAGTTAAAAACCAAATCAAAATGAAAATTACATCAATAATAATAATAATAATAATAATAATAATAAAAGACCATTTTTTATTAAAAATCATTTTTATTTTTATTTATTTATAATTATATTTATTTATTTATTTATATATATTTATAATAATTTTATTTGAAAATAAAATAAAAAAAATTTTATTTTTATTGCTTTCATATCATCGTCGTAATTTAATAATAAACGGAAGAGGGGGAGGGGAAAGAAATTTTTCTAAATTATTATCATTATCATTATTATTTAATTGGGTTTTAAACAAATGAAAAAAAAGGGGGGGGGGAAAGAAATGACTAAAATAAAATAACTGAAAAATTTTAAAAATTGTAGGGAGGGAGGATGGAGATGGTGAAGAGGATGAAAAAGGAGGAATTTATTTAAATTCTCTATGACTATTAATAATAATAATAATAATGAACGTTAAACTCCATTTTCTCTCTCTTTCTCACCCTCTCTCTCTCTCTCTCTTTAACTCACACATTTTAATAATTTTTTTTTTTTTTTTTATAATAAAATAAGTAAAAATATTTAAAATTTTCTTTTTTTGTTTTATTTAAATAAAAAAAATAAAAATTGAGGAGGACATTAAGTACACAAACACGAATTATTATTATTATTATCACTACTTATTTGCTGTTCATTTAAGAGAATACAAAACGAAAAAAAATCAGGTTCGTACAACAACAAACAGGTCACTTTTACATTTTTTTTGTGTCATTTTTTTTTTTTTTTATATTTTAAAAATATAAAATTTTATTATTATTATTATTATTATTATTATTATTATTATTATTATTATTATTATTATTATTATTATTATCATTATTATTATTTATAAGTTATGATAATAATATTAATAAGCATTTTATTTTGCGACCGTTTTAAAATATCAAAAATATTTTTTTTTAAAATAATTATTATTATTATTATTGTTACTTTTACAAAAATGTTTTTTTTTTTTTTTTTTTTTTTTGCTTTTCGGTTTTGGGTCAATGACATTTTCACTCTTTTTATTATCATTTTATCAGTATTACGTCATCCGGGAAGAGAAAAACAGAAAGAAAAAACTCGTAAGTAAATTATTATTTAATTTTTTCCATCGCGAATCATCCCCTTTTTTCCCCCTCCCCTTTTCCCTTTTCGATTCTCTATGATTTTATCGATTCGATGAAAAATTTAATCTTCGTTTCCGGTTTTGTGAATTTAAAAAAAAAAACCGCGCGCGAACGTGGTATGAATGAAATCAAAATTTTTTATTTTTTTTATTTTTTGGACGGAAGATTTTTTTTTTTTTTCCTTTTTCTTCTTTTTTTTTTTAGTGAAAAATGTCAATGACGTCATTGCCAACGTCACAACGAAGTTTTCCGTAGCCGATCGATCGATGCAATCCCCCCCTTCCAAAATTAATTTAATAAAAAAAAAAAAAAAAAAAATGTGGGGGGGGTGTGCACCTTTTTCCCTCGATGTTTCCGCGTTTTCCACACTTTCACTTCCGTTTCCGCTTTTTTTTTTTTTTTAAATTTTTCATATCGTAAATTTTAAACTCGTTGGACGTTCGCAAAAAAAAAAAAAAAAAAAATCGACAAAAAAATTGACCGGAATGCATTTAAAATCACTGTCGTTTCGTTTGTTTGTTTGTTTTGTTTGTTTTATGTTTTATGTTTTTTTCAAGCAGAACACAACACAATCATTTTGAGATCCGTTTTTTAATTAATTTTTTCCTTACAGCAGCAGAATTTAACGTTTTTAATATTTTTTTATTCGAATTTCACTCCTTCATCTTCTTCTTTTTTTTCTTCTGCTTCTTCGAGTTGATGATGATGATGATGATGATGGTAAACAATTTAACGGAAAAATATTATGTATATATAAATTGAAAAGCGAACGAAATAATAATAATAATAATAATAAAAACTAATCTATTCGTTAAAAGTTTATAATTTCTTATTTATAAAGCAAATGAAAACCGTTATATTTACAAAATTCGATTATAATAAAATATGATGGAATTTTATTGTTTGTTGTTGCGTTTTTTTTTTTTTTTTTTTAAACAAACACAAACACACGCACACACGCACGCACACACTGAATTATTTCACATTTCGATGTTGGCAGTGTCGTCAGTCACTTGAAGTCACTTTTTTTTTTTTTTTTTTTTTTTATTATTATTTGAATTCTGCTGCTCGAAAAATGATGGTAAACTCATCAACTCGAAATCGGCGTCACCCGAAAAAAAAATTCTCGTTTGTTTTGTTTGTTTGTTTCGTTTGTTCGTTTGTTTTTTAAACTAAAAATCCTTCGCTTAAATTCGCGCTTATTTGAGCTCTTAATACTTGAACGCTGTTCATTATTTTTTTCTGATGACCGACGAGTGTTATGCCGAGCGCCGTCAATTCTTTAACCGTCAACCTGCAAACGTCATCCATTGTCGTGATTTCCGCTTGAGCAAAATTTTCCAAGTACCTTGCCATTTTTATCGATGTTAACCATTCGTCGACGGAGGAAAGCGTCGTCAAATCGGGAGCATCCGGTGCCAAAGGATTCATCGTCCTGGATAGACAAAAAAAAAAAAAAAAAAAAAAAATTAAATGAATAAGAAACGCTCGAGTCGTCTTCTTTTCTTTTTCTTGCGTGTGATGATGGCGTCCAACGACCCCGTCGGACGATTCCGTTTTACCTGTTCTGTGAAATTTTCCTAAGCGTGTCCGGACATCGTATTAATTTGTCCAAAGTGTTGACTATGCTCGCAAAAGTCGGTCTGTGAGTTCTTTCCTTTTGCCAACTGTCCAACATGAGTTGATAAATGGCTTCGGGACAATCCATAGGTTCGGGCAACCTTTTAAAACACACACACATATTTAATTCAATAATAATAATAATAATAATAATAAAAGAAAACCGTTAACGATGGTTTCACTCACCTGTAGCCCTTTTCTATACTTTTGATAACGTCTTGATTCGACCAGTTCCAATAGGGTCTCTCGCCGTAGGACATGACTTCCCAACATACTATACCAAACGACCAAACATCGCTTGCGGATGTGAATTTTCTGAATGCTATTGCTTCCGGCGCAGTCCATCGCACGGGAATTTTACCTCCCTTTTGAAAGAAAAAAAAAAGGGGATAAATTATTCAACTGTCACGTGGGAATCTACCCCCCCTCCCCATCGCAACCGCTTTCTCTTACCCTCGTCGTGTAGGCTCCCTCCGTCGTTGATTCTATTTCTCGACTTAAACCGAAATCGGCTATCTTACAAACTAATGTCGAATTAACTAAAACGTTTCTAGCGGCTAAATCCCTGTGTACATAATTCATTTCCGAGAGATACTGCATGCCCGAAGCGATGCCGCGAAGCATGCCTACCAATTGTAAAACTTGAAATTTTCCATCGTTCGCCTGACCAAAAAAAAAAATTCATTCTTTTTTAGTAAACTCTCGAAAAGAGGGAAAGTAAAAAGCGGAAATAGTCGATAGCATTACCCTTAGAAACGTGTCGAGGCTTCCGTTTTCCATGTATTCGGTTATTATCATGACCGGATTTGATTTCGTCACGACGCCCTGTAGGAATATGACGTTCGGATGTTCGAATTGTCCCATTATGGACGCCTCCGTAAGAAAATCATTTCTCGCTTTATCCGAACTTCCGGGTTTTAATGTTTTTATCGCTACGTCTATTTCCGATCTGCCATCGGGTGGAAGTTTTAATTTTCCGCGACACACGTCCCCGAATTCTCCTCCGCCTAAAAAAAAAAAAAACCATCACAGTGACAAGAACTTTTACCAAGAAAAGCAGAGAGAGAGAGAGAGAGAGAGAGAGAGAAAAGGAAAAAATGGCGACTCACCAATTATTGCTTCTATCGTTATACAACCCGCATCGATTTCTCTCGCAAATTCTCGAACGGCTTGATTTGGATCCTCGTAAGTGTGTGGATCGATATAAGTTCTCGAACTACTTCCGAATTGCGTCACCAATGGAGTCGTCACTGTTTTTATAGAAAAATGAAACGAATTTAAAAACTCAGAAAAAAATGGAAAAAAAATTAATAATAATAATAATAAAACATAACATGCGGGTTTTGTTTGTACAACACTTACTTCCGTTTGTATGCGTCGTCACGATCGGATCTAAATTGCATCGAACTAAAATTAAAAAAAGAGAAAAAAAAAAAAAAAAAAACGATGACAACAAAATTATAAAATTAAAATAAAATAAAATAAAAAATAAAATAAATAAATAAAAATCCACGACAACAAACAATGACAAACAACGACAAACGGCTTAAAAAAAAAAAAAAATTGAAAACAAAAACAAAAAAAGCAATTTCACTACAAAACCATGTCGGACGTTTATTAAAAACAAACGTTAAAAGAAAGAGAAAAAGAAACAATCAACAAACGACAGCAATTTGGAAAACAATTTTTTTCTCTTTTTAAATCATCAACAATTCACGTCAAAATAAAAAAAGGCAAAAAGAAAAACAAACAAACACGAACGCGAGCAAACCGGAAATGGATCGTTTAAAACTTACTGTATGTCATCACTATTCCTTAATCATGATGTAAACATTTTGGGTTTTTTTTTCCAACGACGTTTTCGAATGTTGGCGACAGCGTGAGAAAGACATACAGAGAGTGAGAGAGTGAGAGAGAGAGAGAAAAAAAAAGGGAATCAAATTAAATTACGTATGATAAACCGCAACAACAAAAAAATTTGAAAAATGGCGAACGACGGAAAAAAAATAAATTCCAAAGATTTGTTTGTTTGTTTGTTTGTTTGTTGATAAAAACTGACCTTCTCTATTCCTGTATTCCAACGTATCACAGTCGCTCGGTTGTTTTTTATTACATTCGTCGGATCCTCTGCTTCGAAGGAACAAAACCGTCATTATTATTATTATGACGAGTAAAACAACGACGGCAACCGTCGCTCCGGCAATTATTCTCACTTGAATGTTATCATCTTCTCCCACGTAATCTAATAACATAAACAAAGTAGAAGGAAGGGGGAGGGGGAAAATTAAAAACGGTTAATTATTTCGCACTTGATATTTCAAGCAAACAAACAAACAAACGGAAAAATCCGCAATACTCACGTAAAACCTGACGGGTTGTTTGAAAAACAATCGGACTGAAATCTCCCCAACCTCTGTTTGTTTTCGCTCTCACTTGAAATCCATAATCCGTCCTTTGTTTTAAATCCGTGAGCGTTATCGTCGTGTCTTTAGTTAATTTCGTCGACGCGTTACCATTATCGTTACGAATGAAATAACGTACCTGAACCAAAAAAAAAAAAAAAAAAAAAAAAAAAAAAAAAAAAAAAAAAAAAAAAGGAAATTAATCATTATAAACGAGGAGCGTGACGGGTCGCGCGTTTTCGCGCCTTTTTTTGTTTTGTTTACCTCGTAATTTTCAACTTCGTCTGCGGCGTCGTTTGTCGTAGGCGGCGGTGCATCCCATGACAAAACAACTTCGGGGCTTTTCACCGAATTAACTGTAATAAAATAATTTCATTTTAATCTTAATTTAAAAAAAAAAAAAAAAATTAGAGTTCTTTTAAAATGTAATATTATCATACCTTTCAAATTGGCAACGTTGTAAACGACGCTCGCTTCCGTCGAAACAATTATTTCCGTAAATTGACTTTTTTCACCCACCAAATCGCTGACGCCATTTTCTGCATAAACTTGGAATTTATACGTCGTGACCGGATTCAAACCCGTCAGAGTAATTTTTGTGTCGTTGAAAAAATCCTTTAAAAAGACAAAAACAAAATCAAATAATTATCCACTTCGCGTTGTTTATCATAATAATAATAATAATAATAATAATAATAATATACGAATTAAACGTTCAAAAAGGAAAATTTTAAAAGATTTCCTTTTTTCCTTTTTTTTTTTTTAAAATAAAGTTTATTTAAATCAATTGAAATTAAATTAATGAAAAACATAAATTTATTCATTCATTTACTTTCATATTAAATAAAATAAAAGGAAGAAGAAAAAAAACAAACGAAACGAATTAATCGGAAAGGCAAAGGATCAAAGGTAAGGTAAAAAAAAAAAAAAAACTTTGTTTTCATTTGAAGTCAATCATTTGAACGGAATAAAAAAGGGGAAAAAAAAGGAAGAAAAAAAAAAGCAAGCGGATAATGACAAACTCGTTTGGAAAAAAGAAGAAAAAGAAGAAGGAAAAAAAAAAAGGAAATTTATCAAAGGAAAAGTTTTTTATTTTTTATTTTTTTAAATATATATATATATAAACTCCGAGTTATGAAAAGCTAAGGAAAAGGAAGCGGAGGAAAAGGAGGGGAAAGGATGGGTGGAGGGAAAAAAGGGAATAAAAAAAATTAAATTTAAATAAGTAAATAATAATAATAATAATTCAAAGGAATTCAAAACTGATAAATGAATTCCTTTGGTGCAAAAAAAAAAAAAAAAAAAAAAAACCTTTGACGTCGCAAGATTATAAAAAAAAAAAAAATATCAAAGGTTAAAAAAAAAAAAAAAAAAAATATTAAATTCGATCGTCAAACAAAGGAAATTAAAAAATACATAATTAAAGAATCAGAGTAAGAAAGATTAAAATAATAATAATAATAATAATAATAATAATAATGATAATAATAATAAGTCAAAGAGTTTAAATAAACTTAACCTTTATAATAAAAAATATTAAAAAAAAAAAAAAAAGCAGAAGAGAAAGGAAAGATTAACTCGAACGAACACAAAAAAAAAAAAAAAAAAAAAAAATGGAAAGAGAAATAAATACGTCGTCTGCAAAATAAAAAAAGAAGAGAAGCTGGGGGCGGGGCGTGGGAGGAAGAGGGGACGGAAAAGAAAAGAAAGAAAAAAAAAAAGGAAAAAAGTAAAAAACAACAACAAATAACGAAACATGAGTCCGACATGTTGTATACGGGGGGGGGGGGGAACGTTCAATTCCATCCGCGTCCATCACAAAAAATTTTCTTTTTTCTTTTTTTTTTTTTTTTAAATTTTTTTGGTATTTTTCCCGCCCCCCTCACAATTTTTTTCATTCGCGTTTTTCATTTCACGCATATTATTATTATTATTATTTTTTCACCACCGCCACCACCACCACCCCAAATTTTTCTTTAAAAAAAAAAAAAGAAAAATTCTTTTGAAATTTTTATTGATTTTATCAAACCGGAAAGGGGAGGAAAAGCGGGAAAAGGGAAAATTCCATAAAAAAAATTGGCCATGAATAAGTTTTAAATTTCCACCGATGGCCTTTTCCCCCTCCCTCCCACCATCTCTTCCTCCCTCTCTCTCTCTACACACACACACACACACACATTTCAAATTACCCTTCATATTTTTTTTTACTTTTTTTTACTTTTTTTTTTTTACAAAGTCATAAATTTTACATTATAAAGAAAGGAAAAAAAAAAGCAAAAGGGAAGGAAAAGAGAACAGGGGAGAGAGAGAATGAGAGAGAAAGTGAGTGAGTGAGAGAGAAAATTAAAGTGAGAGAGAAAAGGGACCGAATAAGAAAATTAAGGAAAACCTCACACAACAAACTTTTGAAAGCTTTTATCACGTTTCATGAAAATTTAAACATATCAAAACGTTTTTTATGACCGGCCCTATTAATGTTATGGCTCGTCAAAATTTTTCTTTTTTTCTTTTTTTTTTTTTTTATTATTATTTTCTCACCGAGTGTGATCGTTGTTACTCGCTCCACCCCCCTTCCTCCCCCTCCCTCTCCCTCAGTCCCCCCAGTTCCATTATTATTATTTTATCCGTAAAGTCCGCTCCTCTAAAACAAAAAAAAAAAAATAAAACCTCCCCTTGTAAAATTTTTCCCATTTTTTTTACGTAGCCTTTTACTACCACCACCACCACTCATTTCTCCCCCTTCCCGTACTCACCCTCATCACTTCTAAATGAAAAATTTACCCCCGGGGAGGTTCGGGAAAAACTAAACAGGAAGAAAAGAGAGAGAGAGAGAGAAAGAGAGAACCGTACAATTACAGATAAGAATTTTCCCGGTTTGAAAATCTGCCACCTTTGAAAATTGACACGAAATGCCGCCTTTTTTGTTTTGTGGAAAATAAAAAAAAAATTTCCCATACATTTCACTCCCCTCCCTTTCCCCCGTCCCCCAAAAAAAGAAAAGTTTCCCAAAAATTTTCCTTTTTGTTGTTGTTGTTGTTGATGATTCCCTTCCTCTTTTTTCCTGTTGACATTACTTCATTTTCTTTTCCTTTTTCTTTTTTGAAAACTCCGGTCATATAAGTTTTGATCGAAATTTTTTTTTATTAATAATAATAATAATAATAATAACTTTTTTTGTTGTCGGCTGTATAAAAACTTTATCTTCTCGTCATCAGAATCATGATCGTGTGTCGTCGTCGTCGTCGTCGTCGTCGCGTCGTCGTTTTTTCTTCCCTTATTTTATTTTATTCTATTATTTTTCTTTCTCTCTTTTTTCAATTTTTTTCCCGCGGGACCAATAGAAAAGTTTGCGTTGAGAAAAGTGCTTTCAAGAGACCGTGCGGAATAAGAAAAGAAAAGAAAAGAAATGAAAAAGATGGAGATGATGAGAAAAAAAAATGACGAAGTGAAAAGAAAGGGAGAAAGAGAGACAGAGACAGAGAAAGAGATAGAGATAGATAAGAGAGAGAGAGAGAGAGAAAGAGAGAGAGAGATGCCATGTGCCTGCCTTATGGATGAGTAGAAAAATAAAAAATGAAAAAGATGGCGAAGGTGAAAACGATTTAAAATTTAATTTCTTGAATTTTTATAATTTTCTTTTCTTCTTCTTCTTTTCCTTTTTACTTTCTCGAAACAATTTTCCGCCATTTTTTTTTTTTCGTAGGCAAGTAAAACAAAAACACTTACCGTGTTTGGAATGTAAGAAACGGAAACGCCGCAACCTTCGCACAAAACCCTGTAAACTGTATCGTTACGACCGCCACGTTGAGCGGGTGGATTCCAAGATATAATGACAGTTGACGGATCCACAAAATACGACGTGACGTTTTGCGGAGCTGAAGGAGGCTCTGCATCAAAAACAAACAAACAATTTTAATTAATGCCAACCGTCAACCGCTTGGAAACAAAAAAAAAAAAAAAAAAATCAATTGACGAGGAACATACGCGTGCAAGGCATGTCTTTGGGATCCTTTGCCGCTCTGTAGTATCCGCTGTTGCAACGACATTCTGAAAAACCGTAATCCGGTGCTTTGCTGTGTTCCGGACATCCCTGACATTTGTCATCGCCCGTCGAATGTTTATATTTACCAGGAGGGCAAACTGTTGGAGAACAAAAAAAAAAAAAAAATAAATAAATTTTTTTTTTTCCTCTCAAAAGAAAACACTAATAATAATAATGATGATGATAATTCAATTACGAAATCCTTCTACCACACGTGAGAGATTAGTTTAGGGGCGGTTAATTTAATTTTTCAACCCTTAAAAATTCGGGTTTTTAATATTCCATTAGTGGAAGATCATCAATGGAAATGACTCATTGCCATTTTCCGGCGGTCTGGGTTATGTAAAAAAAAAAAAAAAAAAAAAAAAAAAAAAAAAGACCCCCGAGTGTTACGGTTATGACCCTAAGCACGCCAGGAGCAGGCACTTCATCTTCTTCTCGGGAAAGTTTTCCTTTTACAAAATGGATGCTTACCGTTACACGTTTTCTTATTGAAATCCGGTTGATATCCGGGATTGCATTTGCATCCACCCGTCGGAAGATACCATTTTCCGTCTCCTTTGCACAGATACGTGGGTTTTCCAACTTCCTGAGCGTTTTCCACGCATTTTCCCATTGCTTGCTCTATAACCGTTACTTCTTTTCCCGTCGACGTGGCCGGAAAATGTGCGAAATTGATTGTCGTTTCCGGACACGTTATGTAATACACCTGAAATGATTTTTAAAAAAAAAAATTTTTTTAAACAAATTTTCCAATGTGAAACGATTTCGATAAAAGAAAATGGAAAAGGAAAAGAGAATAAAAATTAATTTGGCATTTCGACTGATATAAATGGCATTAAACGATGCCTTTTCTTTTCTTTTTTTTTTTCTCGATAAAAAGGTTTCATCAAAAGGTTGAAAATTTATTAAAATCCCTTTTCCCATTTTCTCATCAATTGATTATACGTATAAATATATATATATATTTAAATTTCCTTTCAGGTTAAAAGTGACATTTTTACCAAGGAAAGATAAATTAAACTTATTTTCTCATTTATCGTCTTCAAATATCATTCGATAAATCGATCTATCGAACGATTCATCGATTCGTCGAGAGATAATATTATTATTATTCATTCGTTCGTTCCACCTTTTCCGAGTTTAATTTTTTTTAACTTATATAATAGTTAAATCTTCCCCCCCCGCCGCCATCTTTTACAATTCGAATGACATTTCTTATAAAAAATCTTACTTTTTTTTTTCTTAAATTTCAAGTTGTATCACAAACACTCTTTTACATTTACTCGAAAGCAACAAACGCAAGGAACAAACGCAAGGAACAAACAAACAAACAAACAAACGACACAGACGCACACACACAAAATGTATATAAGGTAAATAAAATTTTAAATTTTCAAAACTTTCATCTCGTCGTCGGATATTTTGATGCGCTTTTTACTATCTAATTTTTTTTTTTCTTTTTGTTATAGAATAATTTCCCCGAATAGAAAAAAAAAAAAATAAACAACAAAAGAACAAAAACAAAAACGAAAAAATGAAAAAAGAAAAGAAAATTTTTTTATTTTTTTTTTTCAGTCCGGAAAAGGAAACGCAAAGAAGAAAAAGATCGAATAAAAAGGGAAAAACCGAACGGAAGTAAATAAAAAAAAAAAAAGAGAAAGAGAGAGAGAGAGAGAGAGAATTTTATTATTAAAGGAATGCAAAAGAACCACCACCCTCACCACCACCACCACCATCATCATCATTATTATTATTATTATTGTCACCGTCAGCGAATTTATAAAAGAAAAATTAAATTGCAAAAAAATAAAAATAAAATAAAAACAACGCGAGAAAGAAAATCCGTTCGCGTACATGATTAATTGAATAGTGAGAGAGAAAGAGAAAGTGGGAGAGAGAGAGAGAAAGAGAGAAAAAGTTGTTCGCTCATTTAAAATTTATGAAAATATCAATTATTAATTTTAATTTTAAATTTTCAATTTTCATTAAAAGGTTTTTCTTTAAGCCAATCAGTTTGGATTTCTAAATTCATCGGAGGAGGTAAAAAAGGAAAGAAAAAAAAATCTCTCTCTCTCTCTTTCATTCTATTTTAAAAACCGCCGGATGTTGAATCTTTTTTCATTTGAGTAATGAAACAAACATTATTTGAAACGAGAGAAACGAAAGAAAAAGATGAGTAGTAGTAGTAAGGCACGAAAAAAAGAAAATTAGAAATTATAAGAGAAAAATGGCGAAACGGAAGAAGGAGAAAGAAAAGAGAAAGAAAAAGAGAAAGAGAGAGAGAAAGAGAGATAAAAAAAGAAAAAACTTCTCCGAACCGAAACCGATGGATAAAATTTTATTACTTTTCCTTTTTTTTTTTTTGCTGGAGAAATTAAAAAAAAAAAAACCATGGAATCATCTGTGATTTAATTAAATGATTCGTTTTGTTCTAGAAATTTCTTTCCTCCACTTTTTTTTTTTTTTTTTACGAGAAATTTTTTTTAGAATTCGCCCCGAAAAAAAAAAAAAAAAAAAAAAAAAAACCCCATCGACGATTTTAATTTTGTTTAATTCATGCGTGTGATATCCATACGTGATGTGCAAAATACAAAAAAAAAAAAAAAAAAAAAAAACTTTCTAATTATCTAAGGTCAAAGGTCAATGATACGACGCGCACAAAATCCACGTAATGTTATTATTATCATTATGAGTAGTAATTAAAATTTAAAAAAAAAAAAAAATTTAACGAAAAGTGTACAACGGGGGAAAAAAAACCACAACAAAGTTTAAAATAAAAAAAAACCAGAAATGGATGTGTCGAGCGAGAGAGAGAGAGAGTAAGTGAAAGAGAGAAAAAGAGAGAGAGAGAGTAAGTGAAAGAGAGAAAAAGAGAGAGAGAGAGTAAGTGAAAGAGAGAAAAAGAGAGAGAGAGAGAGAAAAAAATTTCAAAAACCGAATTGGCAGGAATGAATAAAACCCTCAGGAGAGAAAATATGTTTGCAAAAGAAAATTTCACTCGTTCAATCATCCCCTTTCCCGCCTTCTCTCCCCTCCCCTCCCCTTCATCTCAAACATCTCCTGAGTCATTCAAATAACGAATTCAAAACGAATAGGAAAGAAAAAAAAGAAAGAAAGAAAAAAAGTCGGGATAGAAACGGAGTGAAGGAGAAAGAGAAAGAAAGAGAGAGAGAGAAAGAAAACCAATTTCACCGGAGAAAAAAAAATAATAATAATAATAATAATAATGATATTAACGTTAGAAAATTTGCAGAGGAAAGACTTACTTTTATGGCTAAAAGACTTATGCAAGCTCCTTGATCTCTGAATGCAAAATAAACTCCTTTCTTAGTCACTGGAACGCTTTTAACTTCCGTATTTATTAATATATCTGAATTTACGTTAAATCTCCCTTCGCCGGCTGCTATACGACCTGGAAAAAGAAACAAACAAAAAAAAAAACAAATTAAAATAACAATTTCTTCTGCTGTTCCTGCTGTTGCAGGTTTTTCCTTTCATTCAACACACACGCACACACGTGTCACAACCTGAACCTTTCTTCGTTCTTTCCTTCCTTCAAACAAACCGGAACGAAAGCACTTTAACCACCTTAAAACAACAACAACAACAACAACAAACAGTTGTTAACGACAAACGTATTTTTAAATTTTTTTTTTTTTTTTTATTTATACTTCACGCGGATCTCGTCCGTAACGTCCGCTTTTCCCATAATCTTAACAAAAAAAAAAAAAAAAAAAAAAAAAAAGAAAACCAGGTATTAAATCTACGTCTTAACAACCGGATACGTGATCAAAATGGCAAATCCCATTTAAAATTAATAATAATAATAATAGTAGTAGTAGTAGTTGTAAACCTGACAAAAGAATTTCATCCTCACCGTCATTTTTATTATTATTATTATTAATATCATTGTTTTTTTTTTATTTACTGCATTCGCTGTATATCCTTTGGTAAATAAATAAATAAACCGCCATTATTCATTTGAATGACGCATTTCCGGTGAATTACATATATAAAAAAAAAAAAAAATTCATCCCTTATTTTTTTTTCCTGACCCTTTTTATATTATTACTCCCGTCGTCGACCTGGAGCGAACGCGCGCACACCGCATCCCCCCTCATTTCGTTTCCATTTTGTTAAACTAGGAAAAGGGGAGGAGAGAGGAAAAGAGAGAATAAAAGAAAAAGAAAAAACTTTTAAGCCGATATTCGAATTCTTTCGAAACAAAGAAAGAAAGAGACGAGAAAAAAAGGCCGAAACAAAAATTCCGTATGTGCGTGTGTGTGCGTGTGCGTTATGCGACATTTGCACCGTCATCTCCAATCATTACGTAACGAAAAGGCGGGAGAGAAAAGAAGAAAAAGAAGAAGAAAAAGCTTTTCGAAAAAAAAAAAAAAAAATTAAAAAGGGTGGGAAAAAATTCTCACAAAATGACAAGTGTTATTGTTAAATTAATGATTGTTCGGATTTAATCGCGACCGCGACCCGCCCGCCATCTTTAATAAAACAAAATTACCAACATTACGTGAAAACATATAAGAAAAAAAAAAAAAAAAAAATCTCTCTCGGCCCGAATTAAAAACTTTTTCTCTTCCCCCCCCCCAAATAAAATTTAATAATAATAAAATAACTAAAGACGTCTGAAAATGGATGGAGAAAATCTGGAAAAGTCTAAAGAAAATTCTTATGAAAAAAAACAAAAAAAAATTGATATTTAGGCATTATTCCCTGAGGAATCAGGTGCAGACCGTCGGGACGCAAGCGTTGGAAAAAAATTAGTAATAATAATAATAATAAACATACGACTTTACAAGGCGGCGGTGAAATTTTCAATTATTTAATCACGTGATTCTTAAAAAAACAAAAGAAAAATCGAATAGACGCGTTTTGTTTTCCGTTTCGTTTCGTTTCCGTATGTGCGTGTAAGTGCGTACGTACGCACGCTTACGTTTTTCATTGAAAATTTTCCACTCGCCCTTTTCCCGTGTATAAGATCTTATATATTGTTAATCCCAAAAAACGTTGGTGGATTCATCATTCAAATCACGTCAGTCGTGTAGAAATTTCAACGTAAAAACTTTTAAATTTATTTTAAACCCTAAATTTTCTTCTTCTTTTTCTTTCCCCCCAATCCCCACTCCATTCACTTCACCCCCCACAATTTCCCTCATTTCCTCTCGTTTAAAACCAACCCCTCCCAAAAAAAAAAAAAAAAAAAAAAAAAAATTCCGACATGACAGAGAAACAAAAAAGAAAAAAAAAAAAAAAGAAAAAAAAAAAGAAATTTCCACGAATAAACCTTTCGAAAAAATTGAAGGATTAAGTTATGAGAAGAAGGAAAAAAATGGAGGAGGGGGTTAGGAGGGGGGCAGAAATAAAAAAATAATCGTATGAGAACAGGAGGAGGGGGATACAGGAAGAAAGAGGGGAAAAAAAAAAATTTTTTTTGAAATACGAAAAGGATGACTTCCACCGACACGATTCGACTTTTTTTTTTCTTTTGACACATTTTCATATATATATACATATTTTGTGTGATTTTCACGAATCTTTTCATTTTTCCTTCTCCCCCTTTCTCCCCCTTTCTCCCCTTTTTCTCTGTCACTCTCGCCCCCATTTATTTTCCCAACGTTTCATTCTTTCCGTACGTACGTAAAAAAAAAAAAAGTCACAATTTTCGAAATAACAAACAAATAATTCTTTGTCTTCTCTCTGCTTTTCATATTCAATTCAAACTCCCCCTACTTCCCTCCCACTACTCACACGCCCTCCCACCTCCCCCCCAAAAAAAAAAAAAAAAAAAAAGAAAAATGAGAAGAGAAGAAGAAAAGAAAAAAAAAAACATTTATATGCGATACCGACTACGATTTTATTTCTCACGTATAAAAAAAAAAAAAAGGTAGCGAGTAAATATATCATCAAAGTGAGAGAAATTTTCAAACGCGAATGAACCGGGAAAAGAGAGAGAAAGAGGAAGAGAGAGAGAGAGAAAAAGAAAAGAAAAAAATATATAGTGATAATAATAATAAAATGAATCTTTTTTTGAAGAAGAAAAAAAATGACGACGACGACGACGACAACAACAATAACGACGGCGTGCGTGCGTGAGTGCGTGAGTGCGCGACAACCTTCCAGTTTCTTTTTGATAAAAAGCAATAAACGAAAATTTAACTTTTTTTTTCCTTTCTTTTTACCCCCTCCCCCCTTCTCTCTCTCTCTTTCCCTTTTTCCCTTATTACGAAATTTCTTTTCACATATCTTACATTTACTCCAACCCCCAACCAAAGTCACGTAACATCGCCTTCATTAAGAGAGAAAAACCTCATCTAAATGCTTTGTATTCTTCTCCTTTTTCCTATCTTGACTACTTGCTCTTATTCGCTCTTTCTTTACACAAAGACGCACGCACGTACGCACCCACCAACGCATACACAAGCACGCGAAAAGAAAAACCTTAATAAATGAGAGTACACATTTACATTTTGATAATTCTCCATTGTTTTGTTGCCCTTTTTTTTCTCTCTCTCACAAATCTCATTCGAAATCTTCTTTTTTCTCCTCCTTCCCTCCCTCTTCCTTCCCCCCCCCCGCCGCACACGCACACCTACACGCACGCAATTCATTTTTCATTATCCCTTTCTTTTAAATTTTGTCACAATGAGATTTTGAAAATGATTTCCACATTTTCGAAATGTCGTCATAGAAAAAAAGAGAGAGAGAGAGAGGGAGAGAGGGAGGCGGGGGAGTATTAATTAATAATTACCCTTGTTCAAAATGAATATAAATTAAATTTTAAAACCTTTGCCTCCCCTCCCCCTCTCTCTCTCTCTCTCTCTCTCTCTCTCTCTTTCTCTCTCCAGTGCTCAACCGTTTTCCCTCACTTTCGCGATTTCGTCGGTTATAATTATACCACTAGAAGGAGAAAGGATTCGACTCACCTATGAGTTTATATTTGTCCGGTTCCCAAGGCAGTGGCTCCGGTTTAGCTCCATCGAATTCGTAATAAAGAAGACTAAACGTTTCCTTGCAACTGAGAGCATTTCCGGGGAACATCGAACAGTCTCTGATTGTAAATTTAATTTCTATGTAAATCCTATTGGCTGGACCTCTTTCTATGAAAGGCGTCGTCAGCCAGTTGTTGACCGAATTGTACGTCACGTCGCACACAACATGCGATCTCCAATTGATTCCTTTTTCGAAATTTGTAAAACTTTCTTCTATCCACTGAAACAATTAAAAAAAAAAAAAAAAACAAAAACAAAAATTAATTACTAATCGAATAAAGTACGTTCAGGTACACAGACGTAAGCACGTTACGCAAATCGCTCCTCCCCGTCCCCTCCCCACAAAACTCAATTTATTCTAAACGAAAATAATGACGAGGATGATGATGATGATGATGATAATAATAAAAAAAACCACCGCCGATCCATCAAAGTCCTTTTTCTACAGATAATCCTTTTCATTTCGTTCGACTACCCCCCACTTCAAACCACCCCACCCTACCCCCCTTCGTTCGTTCGTTTCATCATCCTTCCACCTTTTTCATCCATTTACCGCACACAAATCCAACATTTACATCCGTTCGAAATTAAAATGGAAAATAATTTATTTTCCTTTGATTAAAATGACCGTCACGGTCAACGTAAAATCCAATAAAAACAAAACAAAAAAAAGATGGAGAATAAAGAAAAAGGAAAAAAAGGAAAAAAAAGGTAAATTACAATCGTTAATTCCAACAACAACAACAACCACGTGACCGTTACGACAATTTAAATGTGAAAAATAAAATAAAACAAAATAAAATAAAATAAAAAATTTTTCAATAGGAAAAACCCGATTAGTGTGACAGTCACGTGACGGGAATGAAAGCAAATTTTTTTTTTTTTAATTAAAATGGATTTAACTTTAACCGAAATTTATAATTAACTTTATAACAACGACAACAAACAAACAAACAAACAAACATAAAAATTCCCATCGAATCGAAACGACAAATCCAGGAAGAGAAAATGAAGAAAAAAAAATTCATCGACGAATCGTAACAATAATAATAATATTAATAAGTCGATCATGCGTTGGTACATTTCGTACGTTCGAAAGGGTAAAAAGTCATAGAGTAAAAAAAATCAGTCGAGGTTGGTAGAACTGATATTTGTGTCAATTACGTCACACATAATCATTCCGTGAACGTTTTTTCACATCAAAACAGTAGCAGTAACCGTAAAAAAAAATTTTTAAAATTCAATTTCAAAGATTTTTTTTTTTTTTTTGGCATTACGAATTCAACATGATATAAATAATTAATTTTATACAGTTGATATAAATAATAATAATAATAATAATAATGATAATAAAACTTTTTCGAGTTATCCCCGGTAATAATAAAACAGTAAGAAATTAAATTGATTTACGACTCGAGCGAGTTAGAAAAAAAAAAAAAATTTTTTTTTTTTATTTTTATTATCATCGTCGCAACTATTATTATTATTATCATCATTATCATCATCGTCAACGAACTCAATCGTGAAAAAATTAATGAACTCAAATACTACGGAATTAGCGTGATACTCACAAAGGAGGCGGGGAGTGGCAGGGGGAAGGGAAAAAAAACGAAAATCAAAAATGGAAATTTTTTTGTGTTGGTTTTAAAAATTAATTAATTAATTATCTCATTCGAATTTTCAAAAAACTCAACCGGAAACAGATTCCAGACAACAACAACAACAACAACAAAAAAATCGTTAAAAATATCGATTCGGCCATTTTGAAAAAAAAAAAAAAAAAAAAACGAAAATTCCAGTTTCTTTTATTTTATTATTTTTATTTCATTTAAACTTGTTTTTTTTTTTTTTTTTTTTTTTGTTTCTTTCCTTCTTCCTTTCTTTCTTTTCCCCCTCGTTCTCATCATTTCAAACTTTTTTTTTCTCTTTCTCCCTTCATTCCATCTTTGTTTTATTGTTTTTTTTTTTTTTTTTTAGTACATAAATTTTTCATTTTATTATTTGTAATAATTTATAGCCCTTAAATTTATTTGGAGTAAAATAAAAAAAAAAAACTCAAAAGTGCCCAAAAAAAAAAAAAAAAAAACAACTAAAAAGCAGAAGAAAAAATGCTAATAATAATAATAATAATTTTATGACTCCCGCGCATTCCAAAAAAAAAAAAAAAAAAAAAATCTTTATTACTATCTTTCACGAAAACTCAAACTCTGACTGGATAATTGATTCTCTGCGATCGTGAGTCACGAATTGTCTCACGCATTCATTTCTTTTACTTTTCTGACTTTACTTATCACCACCACCACTACCACCCCCGTCCCCACTACTACCACTCCCCAACTGTCTTTTCCGTTTAAAAATGAAAAAAAAAAAGGAGGGAGAGAAAAGAAAAAAAATCGTACGTCAGAAAATGTGTCAGCAACGAGTAAGAAAAAATGAAGAAGAAAATGAAGAAGGAGGCGAAGCGGGGGGAGGGAAATAGAAAAAGAAAAGTAAATAATGAAAGAGAGAGAGAGAGAAAAAGAGAGAAAGAAATAATAAAAATAAAATTTGACGGAGTGTAAAATAATGAGAAGTCGCATCACGTTCAGGTGAAGAAAAAACTGAAAGTAGGAAGGAAAAATAAATAAATATATATATAAAATGAGAAAAGAAAAAGTGTAAACGAACCGAAGGCAGACAGGGAAAAGGGACGGGAGGGCGGGGAAGAAAATCTAAAGTAAGTAAAAGTTAGGGAGGGAAAAAAAAAAACAAGAAGACAAGGAAACGTATAATAAAATCGAAATGAGCGAGAGAGAGAGAAAGAAAGGGGGAGAAGAGGGGAGAGGAAGACAGGAAAAACCCTAGAAACGAACCCCCGTTCCTTTGGGACCAAAGGGCATCTAAAATCTTACCCGCTCAACGCCGAACACTTTTCACGGTTTCCTCTTTTTTTTTTTGTAGAAAAATGAAAAACTTTTGCGGTTTGTTTTACAAGAGGGGAGAGGGTAAGAAGAAAGGAAGAAAAAAAATTGGATGAAACAAAACCGACACCGACACCACCACCACCACCACCGCCATCACTTGAATATTTTTTACTGATGAAAGTCCGAAACAGAGGACGACACAGAGGAGGGAGCGAAGAGAAAAAATGAAAATGGAGTGAAAAACGAGCAAAAAGAGAGAGAAAGAGAGAGAGAGAACAACAGAACAAATGTGTGAGAGAAAGAGAGACAAAGAGAGACAATGAGAGAGAGAAAGAGAGAGAGAGAGATGGAATCGTGTCACGGACAATGAAAAAAAAAAAAAAAAATCCCCGCAAAAATAAGCCAACACGTTTCGACCGTTTTTTTTTTTTTATCCGCCAATTAAAATGTCATCGCGAAGGCGGTGGAAAAAAAAAATTTTTTTTTTTTTTCACAAAAAAAAAATGAAATAAAATTTTACCTGTGTACCTTTATTTTATTATTATTATCATTATTATTATCAAACCCTTTTCGTTTCCTCCCTTTTGTAATAATTTCTCTCATGAAAAATCGCCATTTGCAAATTTATTATTATTATTATTATCATCATCATCATTTTTCACTTTTTTTAATACAAAAAAAAAAAAAAAAATTTAAATAAATATTTAAAAATGTAAAAAAAAAAATGGGGGGAGAAAAAAAATTTTTTTTTTTTTCCTTCCCAGTTCATCCCTTTTCAGTTTCTCTCGGGAAACCGGAAATAAAATAAATAATAATAATGATGATAAATTAAAATACTCAAAAAGAGTTTGATTAAAATTAGAACGATTTTCTCTCCATTTTCTACTGTTGTTGTTGCTGTTGTTGGATTGCCTTTCGTCAAAATATATTTTTTCAACCCCTTTTTCCCCCGCCCCCCACAACCACCATCTCCCTTCTTTTTTTTCAAAAGGGGGTCACCGACGATATTAATCACGAAAAAAAAAAAAAAGAAAAAATTTATAAACGAATTTAAAAAAGAATATTTTACGATTTCGACCTAAAATGAAATGAAAAAGGAAAAAAGGAAAAATGACGGCGCGTTTTCTCCTCCTTCCCTCCCCTCTCCTCTCTCCATCCCCTTTCATTTCGCAAAAAAAAAAAAATTCAAAGCTCGAATCAAATCCTATTCAAAAAAAAAAAAAAAAGGAAAAAAAATGGCGCCAAACATTTATAGAATTTCCGGTTCAACGATTCATTTCCTTATTCTTATCCCCCCTCGTATTCATTTTTTTCTCCCCTCTCCCTTCTCCCTCCAACCCGATTATCGATTCGACGCCAATAAAATTTAAAAAAAAAAAAAAAAAAACGGAGCAATTGAAAAATTGTAACAAATTTAATTTCCGTTTTTTTTTTTTTTTTTTATTAAAAAAAAAAAAAAGTGATTTTTGTGCTAAAGGTCGACAGTGATAAATTTCGGCCATCATCGATTGTCGCACTTTTGCGAATTCAAAAGAAATAATAATAATAATAATAATAATAAAAATAAGAATAAAAATGATGACGACGACGACGACGATGTTGATTATAAAATTCGATTATTATTAATCTCCGCCTTCGTGTTAAAACGAGAGAGAGAGGGGGGAGGGGGAGGGAGGAAGAGAGAGAGAGAAACAGAGAGGGAGAGAGAGAGAGAGAGAGAGAGAGAGAGAGAGAGAGAGAGAGAGAGAAAGAGAGAGAGATAGGAAAAAAGAACCGACGACGACGACGACGACGACAACAGCAATTCTTATCGTAATTTTTAAATTTTCTTTTTCCATTTTTCCATTTTTTATTTTTTATTTTTCACTCCGCCATTTTCGCACAGCTTTCTCGATCGGGAAAATTTTTCGTTTTTTTTCCCTTAACCTTAATATTAAAGACACGATCGTTTCGTCGCACCATTATAATAATAATAAAGAGAAAAAAAGGGGAGGATCTCTCATTAGATATATATATATATATAAATAATTCGTTTTGTACTCATTCATACTAATTTCACATCAGCATTTTCTCCAACATTTCCCCTCACCTTCCCCCACCACCCCCTACCACGCTTTTTTTCGAAATAAAAAACAAAATTAAAACAACAACAACAACAACATAATTTTCACTCGTAAAAAAAAAAAAAAAAAAAAAAAATTGATTGGAAAAAAAATAAAATTTTAATTATCAGAAACAACAAATCGAAAATGTTTTTTTTTTTTTTTTTTTTTTTTTTTTATTACCCTCGTAGTAGTAGTCATCATCATCATCATCACCATAATAATAATAATAATAATAATTACTATTATTTTTTGTAGAATTTTGAAACGAATCGAACGAGTTTAGGGAACAATTAAAAATTGGGAAAAAAATTATAAAAAAAAATCTAATTCATATGAATATAATATAAAGTTGGTAAAACTGAATCTGTCGGGAGGACAAATGATTAAACAGCAACAACGACAAACACAACAACAACAACAACAACAACAACAACACCTTAATTACGTTATTTGAATTTTTTTTGTTGGTCTAACGACAAATTCGACCGTGGAAAATTAAGTTACGAAAAAATTTTTTTTTTTTTTTAAAGCCGTAAAAATTAAATTACTCGAAAAAAAAAAAA